ACATGTGTTAGTTATATAAAATTTAAAAAATTGAGGGGGTAAATACTATTAATTACTATTAGTGAGTATTGGGTTCATATAAATTTTAAAAAATAGAGGGGGTATGTTAAACGAAGAATTAAATTGGTCTGGCCTAAATCACTTATAAACAAGTAGTAAAAATTATAAAAAAATTGGCCAACTTTGTGATCAAGATTCTTGGGAGGTTTATTTTTAACCACCCTTAAAATTTCATAAAAAGGACCTTCAAATGCTAGAGAATGTATGAAATGAGATCCAGAAATTAAATTAACAACTTCTTTATTGCTAAATAAACTTAAAAAGCAAAATTTGTTCAAATTTTACTTATTAAATTAGGTATATCAATCATTTAACCCCATATTAAAAAATTTACCTGTAATATGTTGATCAACTAATACAGAATGTACATATATACGTATGTATAATGCTAAGGCATAACCAAGATAGAATTTGTATATGTATAAAATAAAAGTGAAAATAGATTTCATCTTTTGAAACAAGTATCAAGTGTACCTAGTTCTTCTTAGATATTAATTTTTATTATCATTATGATATTTCATCTAAGAAATATTTTTAACATTGGTAATTTAAAATTTCGGGATGCTAGTTTTATGATCTCTCAAAATCAGAGTGCCTTATCATATTAAAATTTAAGAATATAATTAAAGGTTTCATAATCACAAAATACCAATTTTGTTTCGAAGCTTATAGTCAGAGTATGAATAGGTTATTAATAATATATATATTAATCATATTCCAACTAATAAACTTGAAAAAAAAATTTCATATTTAATTTACGAATACTTTATCGCTAATAATCTTCTAAAAAATCCAAGTCTATTATTGAGTTTCTTTGTTATATTTACACAGCATTAACTAATATCTGTCATTCTTGTATCACATTTACACTAATATCTTATTATCCTTATAGTGATTTTAAGTTCATATCAAAGCTTATAAATCAGAATATTAATGTTTTTTTTAAAACTGAAGTTGGATCTGTAATACTGAATTTGTAAATCTTGAGACTGTAATAATAGCAGTTATATACTTTTTATTTAATGGCAATAATAAGAATTCACTTTTATGGCAGTCCACAATAACTGCTTAAATAAAAAGCTATATTGGCTAAATAAACTACTAGCTCGACCTCTTATCAAATATGTCTTTAACACATAGAACAATTAGATTGTTCTAATTAAAGTAAAGAATTATCAAATTAAGTTAATTTATGAACAACTATCTCAATTAAGAGGATCTTTGTACAAATTCCTACCATTTTTTAAAGAAAATTGATAAAAGTCGTATTCACTTAAATGATAGCTTCTAAACCACAAGCTAATATACTTTGTATCCTAAGGGGAGTGCCAGAAATCAGCTGATTTTTTAGAGGAGGAGGGGTAAAAAAAATTATTAGGTATATAATTTTAGCCAATTAAAATTTTTTATTTAAAATCAGTTAGGGGGAGAGGGGGTAGCCTCTTAATAAAAAAATATCAGCTGATAAATAGCCCTCTCTAAGTAAAAAAAATACTTATATTTGCCTTTTATATATTATCAGATTCTTTTTTTTAACAAGCATTGTAATACAACAAAAAACTTCAGTTAAAGTTACGGAATTCTAAATTAATATAATTACTAATAGAAGAAAATCTATTTTTTTGAACTTTATTGATAGAAATTATGAATGTATTAATCATAATAAAGATGATGACATGATAGATAATGATAGTACAAGTTTTTTTAGTAAAACTTTAGTATTTGAATATCTTGAAACTAAGCGTGAAAGCATCACAAGTAATTGTAAAATTGAAATATATCTGTTTGTATAGATAAAATTAGTTTTGAAGAAGCATGTATGATGGCCAATATTAATGAAGATAAAGAACTTATCTGGGATGATTTGGATATAGAGACTAAAAGTAGAGATACAAATTCGATGGTACTAGAACCAGAATCTAAAAAAAGTATGTATTTAACTGAGGATTCAAAAGATTAAGAACTTATATCTTGTGTTTTTTTGAATATGTCTAATAGTTGTATTCAACATTGTTTAAGTAAAAAAGAGAGACAAAGACCCTTAGTACAATTAGCAGAAATGTGGGAGATAGACAAGAATATATTTTTAGAATTGAAGAAGAAAATGAGCTATACTCATTAGATATCTGCTATGCTCATTTTATGTTTAACCAAAAGTTACTTCATAGTACAAATATTAAAAAATTATAGTCAATTAAAAAAAGCTAGATTTATAATTGTTGTTGTTTATTTTGCAATAAGTATAAAATTTTCTTTAGTTATAGAGAAACTTGTATTTAGCACTTTATATATATAAGTAATCAGAATATTCAGGCACCTTGTGTTGGCTCAAAATTTTGTACTGATTTTCCTTCTAGAAAATTGCAAGAAAATGAACTTAGTGATGACAAGTTTGATGAATATCAACCATGTTTTATATGTTCTGAATGTTTTAATTCAGAAGGTAGACATTTTTTTAAAAGAAATAAGCGAGATAATAAATCACACTATTCATGTAACAATAAGCACAATAATGATATTACTGAAGCATTTAAACTTATGGGCATTGGATATTAAATATTTCAGAATCTACAGATCAAGAGTATAAAAAAGCAGTTTTTTTCTCACTTAAACATAATTTTAATGACGTATAATATAACAAAACTGTCTTCTATTGATTTACCAAGTCTTTTACTTATTAAAACTACCTTAAGGTTAAACTATGTTGAGCTTATGAAGATTAAAGACAACAATTATAACTTTATTACAGAAATATTAGCCAAGATTGGAGATATATTCAAAATAACAATATAGCGATCATACTTTGAAGTATAAAAAAATAAAAAGAAACTCAAAGAACTAGCTTTTTTAGAAGATTATCAAAATAGATTTCCTAGTTTTTTATTCAAATTTTTTAAAGAATTATTTGTTACATTATTAAAAAAAAATATGAAGCTGTAATGAAAAAAAAGAAGCAGAAAAATTTAGTAGAAAAGGCTTTTAATATAACCCGAACAACTAAAATATCAATATTTTTTATATCTATTATATTAAACATAATATTTTCTAGTACAAATATATAGTTAACTTATTTAATGAGTTTTTTATATCATAAACCAAAATTACTATCTTCTTTATATAGTATTTTGTATGCAGCCAATATTGTGTCTCATATGCAAAGATATGAATAGCAGCTAGAAAAAAATCGAATTAAAAAAGCATATCTGAAAAGTAAATTATAGGAAAATATAGATAAAATACAAGCATATAGAATATCACAGTAATAAACAATATAGATTTTTTAGAGAAAACATTTTCGTATAGTAATATTTTTGATACTTCACATAATTCTGCTTATACCACTGTTATAGAACAGTTTATTATTTTATTAGTTATTATTCTGATATTGTATTTTATTATTTATTTTATTATTATTATTTAGTCTTATTTAGTTAGTATTATTAGAGTA